GCTACTTAACTATACTATTGCTTCCAAAGGAAACCCTTACAGCCCTCAATCCAGACAGTTCTGGTAAAGATAAGCCACAGCATTTATTCAGTGCTGGGGAGCTCTCATCTCAAGCTGTCCTATGGGATAGGGAGACTAAAATAGCAGCCAACTATCTGCCTGTGTGAGAGCTGTTGAGTGCCTCTGAGAAGTGAGAGATTTCACGGGGAGGTGAGGAGAAAGGCTCCAGACAGCCTCTTCCAGCCACAGCCCTCCTGCTGCACTGCAGAACACACACCTACAGTTCCAGGGTGTTCTCACTGGGGAGGGGATGTTTCTGGCCAACCAGGAGCAGGCAGGAGGGTCCCACACTGCTGAAGGCCTGTGGGGCAGATGCCAGTGGTGAGGGTGTGACAGCCACGCCGCCCTTGGGCCCCATGCACTCTGCACGAAGTGGGAACTCCCCTCTCCCTGTATTACCTGCCAGGCGGCCCAGGCCTCCATTTCCCAGTCCAGCATCTTCTTCAATTTCTTCCAGCTCCTCCAAGTCCAAACCCAGCTATTGGGGAAGAACCACAACAGAATATGCTACCAATAAAACCCCATGATCTGAGCTGCTCTCCACAGGAGGATAAACAAATCCCAAAACCACCCACACTGAGGGAAATTAAACTCACAAGGTCTCTGAATCCCTGCCCACAAAGCATCTCACCAGCCCCTAGTCCTTGGGCAGCCCAATTGACTGGAAAATAATTCAGCCCATCACCAGATGTCACTTGCCCATGAAGAAGGTTTCCTTAGAGACTTCAGACAAAACACTCATGCCCTGGCAGCCCCTCATGTCAGGATGCCCTTTGACCAAACTTGACACTGGAGACAGTATGGGGGGAATGATCAAGCAAGGGACCCCTGAGTCCTGCCTGGGCAGGGGTGGTCATCCCTCTGCTCATGCCTACCAGGTCCTTGAGGAAGGTCATGGCCAGGCTGGCAGCAGTGACTGCAGCATTTACCATCACTCTCTGTGCTTCCCACATCCTGCCCAGCCTGCCACTGAGCTCCTTGGCTGCAGTCCGTGGCTGGAAGTGGTTGCCTGCATCTCTTGAGCCATTTGTTCTATGGCCTGGGGGCTCCTGCCAGATGAAGGCTAAGGCTGCCAGCAACAAGGACTCTCCAGGAGTCCAGGGGTGCAGACTCAGGGGACAGCACTAGCTCGCCCTGGTGCCAGGGGATAGAGCAAGGTGTCAAGCCAATACTACGGCTGCTCCCCAAACTGTTTTCCCAGCACTTCAGTGGTCTGCAGCCACAAGATGGGAAAGCCTCATGCACAGAGTGATGGGACACAAAAACTGAGACAAATTCTCTCAGTGACAGAGCCATGCTGGATATGAGACCTCTGAAGCAACCTGGCCACTGGCCATTATGAGCTCCACACGCTGGAGGCTACTGCAAGGGAAGCCTTGACATGTTGGGCCAAATCTGCACTTGGAAAGTGTCTTGCAAAGGAACTTAGAGGATGCTCCCTGAAAAAAACCAGCCTGCCCTCTGAGGCACAATACCTCAGAGAGGAAACAGGTGTCTCCCTGGAAATCCCTTTCTGATCTCTTGGCAGGGAAAGTGCTTGCCAGGATGTTTCAGCAGCAACTGTAGTACCTCATTTAAACAGACAGTGAAGTGCCCAACTTCTGCTAGAAACATGGATGAATCTGGTGGGGCAGAGGGAGGTGAGAGGGGAAGCTGGGAGAAATAAAGGGTTTGGGTTAGAAAGCCAAAAACTTCACATTCTCTCAAAAAAATCACTGTGCTATTGCAGACATGTCCACAAACAATCATATAAGTAACAATGGCGTCACATTAGTGATTGCCTTGGTGATACCCAGCTGTGTTTTTTTCCAGATGGAAATCACCTGAGGACATTTTATTTCAAGCAAATTATTTCCCTCCTTTCTCCTTTCCCACTAATCAACTTCTACCTGGCAGCACTGCTGATGTGCCTTGTGTACCTCAATGTGTGAACTGTAATTTGGTGTTTTCCTGCTCTAGTCCCAGTCTCTCCCACTACACTACATCTCCTGTGAAAACATCATCTCTCCTACTAATGAAAAGCTTCTTGCAGCCTGTGACTCTTATGTCATTTAGAATACTGGGTGTTGTTTTCAGTATACACTTCTGGGTTCTCCCATTCACTACAGGAAAAAATATACTCCAGCTCCAAAGAACCCCAAGCCCCCTGCACTGTCTTCTCTAGGGAATGAACACTAAGAAAGAGCCAAGTTTCATTTTGTATAGTCCAAATAACATAATCTTCTCAGGTGAAGCCCTGTGAAATAAAGCTACTCAGCCATCTGTGTAGAAAAGTTTAGCCTCATGGGGAGCTGGTACCCCCAGGACTTTACCTGGTAGATGGCTTCATCGCAGGCATTCTGCAGGCCCAGGTTCACCATGGTGTTCTGCAGAGTGCGACCCATGTAGAACTCCAAGGATAGGTAGTAAATGCGCTGGGGAGGCAAAGCAAGACACACACAGCACAGCACTTTGTTTTCACCAAAGCTGCTTAAAATCAAGAGCAGACCCAAGCATTTTCCAGAGTAGGGATGTCTTCCCAGACTAGCTTTTGGCACCTGCTCCTGAACACCATGCACCAGAGTTGTTTGTCAGAAGAATTTCATGTGGGACGCCGGCCAAGCCTCCACCACGCATCTCCCTGCCAACAGCCTTCTATAGAAAAATCTCGCTGCCTGTTAAGTGTTTCCCTAATTAACTTAAGGCAAGTATTATCTAGGATGCTGAATGATATATTTATACGCTGTTACGCTCATCTGAGGTGATGTTTATGCTGGGCTTTTAAGTTTTCCTAGACTGAAGCTGATCCAGTCTCCCAAAAGCCAGAGCAAGCCCCCTGCCCCATGCAGGCTGGCTGGGCTGAGGGCCAGCGCCTTCCTGTGAGCAATTTTCCAGCACTCCCATCTCATGGATCCTCCTGCTCACCCCACACTGAGTTTCACTCCTGTTTCACCCTGTTGCACAAGTAATTTGTCTCACAGATGGCAGGGTTCCTGGCACAAGTGTGCAGTGACCTTCCAAGTTTAAGGGGAGCTGTGTCTGTGCCGCAAATGCTAATGAAATCCTGTTTGTGGGATAAGAAACAGGCTGTGCAAACTTTTGCCCTCACTCAAGATTCATCACTATGGATATTTTTGTAAATAAACTGGAATTCTTAACAGAACAATAACCTGACTTCAATTTGCGCTTTACTCTCAATCTCTTTCCACTGCAGTGTGGATCTTTTCTGCTAAGCAGCAGGATTACCCACTCTGCCACCTCTTCTGGGAGTCTGAAAAGGTCAGTCTGTTCCCTGGGGCTCATCAGTTAGACTGAACTCATTGCACACAAGTGCTCTGCTCCTTTCAGTCTCCCACAGGGGTACATTTCTAGTGAAGACCTAAGTGTAGAGGACAGTAAGCACACTCACTCCAGGCTCCTCTGAGCCTTTATGGGATTTGTGCAATCTCTTCTGTTGGTGCTGCAATACAGATCAGGGCACAGATTTGTGTGAGTTAGGACAAAAGGGAGATTTCCATGTACCAGTGTAACTCCCTGTGCACATGCAGCCATTCTGTAGTGAAAGTGCACTTTGTTTCTTGTGTCAAGGCAATATTCATAATCTTGAGAGAAAAGCTGACTCAGGGAGGTGGCTGCCTGCACCGTGTAGAGGCACATGCCTTTCTCAGTACACACCTGCTCTCTGTGGCTCTCCAGCCAAGCACTGGATTGGGTCTTTATTCAAAACAATTAAGTCTGAATTACATCTTGCAGCCCCCAACATCTTCAGCATCACTGTCCTGACTTGGCAAGCAGTGAGGAACTCCGGGGTTTGGTGACCTGGGAGAGCTTGTCTGGTTTTCATAAGGCAAGAAACTCCTCTCCAGCCTCAAAGCTGAGCTGCCTGCATGTTCTGCAGGAGTGGTCAGGACATAGCTGTGTGCTGAGCCATGGAGATGATAATACCCACAGAAGACACCACCACAGCAGTGTGAGCGCAGGATGTGACTGTGGTGGAGCATGCAGAGGAGCTGGCAGCAGCAAGGCACATGCAAGGACCTGCTCAGAGTGGGACCACAGGGGACATAGCTGTGACATGGTGCAGGGGGACATAGTTATGAGAGTGTCTGAGGAGTGACAATGCTGCAGCAAGGTTCAGTGGAATAGGACTGCAAAAGACTGTATGGGGACACAGTCATGGCAAATTGCACAAAGGAAATGGCCATGGTAATACCCCTGGCAACAAAGCAACAGCAAGACACGTGTGAGGGATACAGGTATCGTGATGCCCGCAGGGAAGAAATCACGGTGGGATGCATGAGGGGCACGGCCATGCAAGGGGCCCCACAGCCAGGTGCGTGCAAAGGACACAGTGACACCTTCCAGGTAGCCACGGAGACACCCTCGACGAAGGATGCCCAGCCGCCCAGCGCCAGTCCCTCGTCCCGCTAGGGCTCACCTTGGGGTCCCGCTCGTAGTAGTGCTGCTGGGTACGGATCCAGCGGCCCACCAGGTGGTCGCGCACCGTGTGGGCCAACGCGAAGTAGTAATCGCGGGGGGTGGCAACGTTGCGGTCCTTGACGAGGGTGAAGTGGAGGTGGCGATTGAAGCTCTTGCGCACCTCGGCCACGTCCCCTAGTCCTGCGATGCCCCGCACGCTGATCTGCTTCCGACGCTCCCCGTCGCTCAGTGGTGCCGCCATCCCGCCGCCGCCCCGCTGCCTCCGCCTCCGCCGCAGCCGGGGCAGGAGCCGCCGCGCCTGCGCCTCCTTCGCCCGCGACGAGGCGGGGCAGGCAGTGCTGCCAGGGCGGGCCGAGGGGAACCGGGCGGGCGACTGTGGGCTGCGATGGCATCGGGAGCTGGGATGGCAGTGCAGGACTTGGCTGATGGCGCTATAAACCAGGGATGGCAGCAGGGCAGCGATTTCTCATCCCACCCCCCGTGCGGGCTGTGGCGCTAGAAGCCACCCCATCACCACGTTCTGATTTTAAATTGGGCGTTTATTGTCAGCACACTGAAGTTCAAGTGTCCCCGGAACACAGAGCCAGCAGTACACGCACACAGCAGGCCGCTGTGGCCTGTGTACTGGTACCCTGAGCCCATGAGTCAGGGCTCTCGGGAAAGTTGGGCTCTTCTGCACCTCCAAAAGACCACTTGGGTCTTCTCTATACATTCATCAAATACATCACAAATCCACAGATTACAAATAGCACAGCATATCCCCTCCAGCCCCTGTGATCACTCCCTGCCCACCTACCAGGCACTGTTGGAGTGGAGCATCTCAGCTACCCTGCCCTGGTTGATTGCAACCACAATACATTCCTTTAGCACAGATGTGTCTGCAGGAAGAGACACCCAAATTACCATGCAAATGTATTCATCCCCAGCCCTGCATCAACCTTGCCAGGGCACAGAAGTCTGCAACTTCCAGTGAGCCATGCTCAGGGTTAATTTTTGTGGCTGCATCTTGTTCGTCTATCCTCCTCTGACCAGCTCTAGAATTGTCAAATCCATCATTATCCTTGTACCCAGCTCCCAGGCCTTGCTCATCCAGCAAATCTGATTATGTCTTCCACCATCCACCTCCCAACAGCCAGGGAATCAACATTAAACTTTAACCCTAAAGGGCAAACATGCCTCCAAGCCTGTATCCAGTTCTAGAGTCTTCCTGAGCTTTTCTCCTTCAGCAACTGGAACACAGAGCTGTGACTTCCATGCTGCATTTCAAAGCTGCTCCCTGTCAGCAGCATAACACGTAAATGCACCATTTTTGTACACACGCAAGTTTACTTTGAACACTGGAGTAGTAAAATAAAAATCATCACTGTAAACTGCTGGCAAACAGGAAAAAACACCCTGAAATCAGGACAGTGAAGAGTTCCTCCTGGAGTGATCGTTTAGCAACTTCAGCACACTGCAAGCACATAGTACAGGCACATTCCAAAAGAGGTGTGTTTTTCTCATAGAGATCATAGATGTCCTGCAGAGTCCTGGTTTTCCTTCCAAAATGATAAAGTTTTACATTAAGCTGATGGCACATGCTGTCAAATCAAGGTGCTTCCTTTGCACTCTAAAAAAGAGCTAGTGATGGTAGGGACTTGGCAGGGGGTGGGAAGAAAGGAGTGTAGTTCATGGTGATCTTCCAAAGGACTCTGGGAGCAAAAAACACACTCTTCAATAGGGTATGCTTCCAAAAAATGGAAATTTCAAAAAGTCACATTCTAGGAGCATTAGTACTGCAGTCTATTGAGTGAGTCGATGTAATGGAAAGCGGCTCCCAATGCCCAGCTCGTTTCAACATTGTCAATTTTCCGGGCAAGCTGCACCAAAAAAAAAAAAACATGCAGGAAAGTTAAAACACAATTCTTTGTGAGAATCTGAAGCATGCAAGGTGGATACAGTGCTGAAGGTTATGACAGTTACCGCCATTGTGGGGAGAGTGTTGCTGCACCCATGATTGCAGATAATGTGTTGTAGCAAGGAAGTAAATCAAGAACCAAGCTCCTGGTAGGATGACTCCTGCCTTGCACCCTCTTGCCCACTCTCCCCAGAAATCCACATTGAGCTTCACCTTAAAGCCTTGGCTCTTTGGGAATCCCAGTTCCTGCAGCAGGAAGGTGATGTATGTGAGGTCCATGCAGAGAAAAGGGCTATTTCCAGGGCTGATTTCCATGGTCTTACAAACTGAAGAAGAAAGAAAACAGTGTCTGAATGCACGCTGTGGGCTTAGGTCTAACAACAACCCCGCTGTGAAAAATCTCAAATGAATCCACAAAACAGCTCTTGTCAGTTGGACTGTGCAGTGATGGAACCTGTCACAGTGGGGCTGAAATGACATACAAACATTAGGATAAGAACATAAGCTTTGTAGGGAAGATCAAGACATTCTGTCTCTCCTCTAAGACAGCAGTTTCTTTTATCTCGCCAGAAAAAGAGCTTTTCTTCTATCTACTTCAAGTCTTCGAGTATCTGAGCAACCTCAGATGTGTTATCTTCCTTGAGCACCAGGACTCAACAAATGCTGACAAAACCAAATGTAAAAAAAACCCAACAAAATAAAAAAAGACAAACTCAAAATAAAACCCACTGCAAAAGTTATTATAAAAATAGGTGAGATTTTCAGAAATAAGCAGAAATGTTGGTTAGATGCTATTTAGAGGGACTCAGTATTTACTTAAAAGCATCAGGCTTCTTAGTGTGTCATACATTTGCCACCTGGAATGAATTTACACAAAATTACTAGTGTGTGTTTGTATTTTACTCACCATACTTAGCTGCAATTTCAAAGTCACTGACAGTTAAGCTTCCTCCTTTTTCTTTATCTAAAAGAAAAAAACTCACAGTTTTTTACAGTCTTTGTATAAAGGCAATTGTAGACTCAAGTCATAAAATTTGTTTGGAAATTAAATCTTGAGCCACTGAAATCAATGTCAAAATTCAGATTGGTTTTAAACCTTCAAAAATTCTCGATATAGTTTCAAAAACCTTGGTTTATGAAGAATCTTTAGCCTTGTTTCCTACAGAAACAGAGCTTACAGACCATCTCACCTGACCCCTATTTCTGCACTGCCCTGTCCAGTGGTGCCTGGACAGTGAACACCTGTGACCAGATCTGACAGGGCAGCGGTGCTCTGCATCACATTAAATCTGAAATTGTTTGTAAAAATAGAGTGGCTGAGGAGGGGAGTATGTTTGTCCAAACTAACTTGAGATCTCATTATCTGATTTTTACCACTGAATACGACAGCCTTTTGTACACAAGCAGACCACTGGAAAAGAGATGTGATGCATTCTGAATGCATGTGGAAATATCTGAAAATCTTCATTCCGTCTAAAAAGGTCAGTGAAGCAAACACATAGCCCAAATAATTTTTACTGCTTTACTGCCCAAGAAATTTGTTTATCATTATGAGGTTTTTTCTATTTTGGATTGTAGAGCTAATTAGGCAACAACCATTTCTGAAATGCAGTTTGTTTAAAAACTATTATCAAAGGCTAAAGGCTGTAGGTCCTATTTCACAGCCCCAGTATCTTCTCTATAGAAATTAAAATCAAGTCAAGATCAATGCTGCATAGCAGTGTAACAACAGATTAATTTCCATGACAGCTTAGCAAAGCATCATGATGTGTGCAAGTGTTCCCACTGCTTCAGTAATTTGCCATTTAAAATTAAACCAACTCAGAAGCAGACATACCTATGAGACCAGCCTCTGCTGCACAGTCATAGTAGTAGGAGAAAATGTAAAAGTCCAGATTCTTCACTTCACCAGCTCTATGCACTTTTTTGTAGAGCATCTTTGCCACTTTATTAGAACAAGACTCATACAGAGGCTCACCTAAAAGAAGACAAACCCCCCCCCCCCCCATATTACAGGCTAAGAGTTACATAGATATAGAATTTATTTAGTATCTGCCAGGAAGCAGGCTGCTTTTTGCAAAATAACAAAACTCTTCACAGAGAACTGAAATCTGCATCTTCTTCCAGAGGCAGACACCTACCATCCTCAGGTTGGGACTACTTGATAGCTCAGAGATGGACAACATAATTTAAGGTAGAAGGATTTTGAAAGACCTGTTCAAGGACTGCTGAACTCCATCTGCATCATATCTAGCAGCTTTACTGAGTGGACAGACACATCATGGCACAAGACAAAGGAACTGCAGGATCTCTTTGACAGCGCATCAAGAGGAGCCAGACAGAACAGTAAACAGAGTCTGGTGTCTTTGAAAGAGGATGAGAGTGTATCATTTACTGTGCTAATAGCAGCTAACCTAGATAGCAAGAGTGATAAATCACTATACCTGCCTTCTGTCCTTTAATTTTGTACACTATCTCAGCGTGTTGCCATTTGGATTTGAAGCCAGGTGATAAACAAGGGCTGATCAATTCCTCCCCTTCTCCTACTGCAGAAGTAAAACAAAGCCACATTAGGAAAAAATGAAAGCAGTAAATTCAGATCCTTCACCCCTAGTCCTGCTCCATTCGGTCCTGTAGCCTCAGCAAGGTCCCTCCACAACCCAGTCATGGTTTGGATGTCCCATGCCTGCCCCCAACCTGAGACTGGCAAGAATTCAGGTCTCTCGGGATCTGTCAGTGTCACCTCCTGCATTCGTCTCAAACGCATCCAGCCATGGTGACAGGAGTCCACATGCCACTCAGGAGCCTCGAGCCCATGGGAAGGGGATACACAGCTCCTCCCCCCACCAGAGGACTACACACCCTGAGCTCAGAACCAGCATCTGAGCATCGCCCGTAACTTACAGGATTTTCCCTCAACTCCTCCCAAAATGGCAAGCCTTGCTGACATCAGCCCAAGTCCCAGGTAACTGCAAAGGGAGAAAAGCCTCTGTGAGCAACAGACATCCTTCCTCTGATGCTCCACCGACAACCTGGCTGGGACATGCCAGTATCCTCTACACAGCCATGGCAAAGTGGCTCAAGTCAGCAGCTCATGCACATGAGGGGAACAGTGTGACAACTGCTCTCATATTACCTTATTCAGAAGGATAATTTCTCTTTGAAAAAGCTCAGGCAATAGCTGTCAGCTGTAATTTGGCTCTTGGAGAACTGGCAATGGCATTTCCCTAACTCTACTCCTAGTACCTCACTGGGTACTCCTACCCTCCTCAAAGGCAGCCCAGACACGTTACAGAACTGAATTTCTGAACCCAAACACTCCCCACAGCAAACACAGGTGGGAAGAAGCTGCTGGCCTCTGCCCAAAACACTGGGAGCAGAGAAGACCGTGAGGAAGAAGAAATAACAGAGACAAAGCATTATGAACTGACTGCAACCCCCATTCTTCCTGTGCTGCTCAGTGGCGAGAAGGTATGAGTTGGATGTAAAGGTGAGCCTGTGAAGGAGGGAGAGGTGGAGGGAAAAGAGTTTTTGATTTTGTTCTTATTTCTCATTATCTTACTGTTTAATTGGCAATAAATTAAATTAAATATTAAATAAATTAAAGTAAAGTCAAGTCTGTTTTGCCCATGACAATAACTGGTGACCTCCCTGTCCTTATCTTGACCCATGAACTTTTTGTCATATTTTCTTCCCCCGTCCTGTTAATGCAGTGGGAGTGATTGAGGGACTTAGTGGGCACATGGTGGGCAGCCAAGGTTAATCCACCAAAATCATGTGGCTTAAGTTTCTCTGCTTCTTCGTGGTATTCATTTGCAAGGACTCCAATCCAGAAAAACACCTCAGTCTCCCTAGCTTCACAGAAAGCTTCCATCTGAGCACTGTGCTCTCTTTTCCACAACTAACCTGTATGAATACAGCTTGTAGGTGTGGTTAAACATCTGAAATGAAGTTGTGTGGCCAGATGGTGATGTTTGGAGAGTTGTCTGGAGGAAGAAAAAGATGTCACTGGCAGGTTTCTGCTAGCCAGCAGCAAACATCAACAAGGTAATCTTCCAACACATTAGGAAAAACGTGAAACAATCCTAGCATGATTCAGAGAGAAATGATGAATTTGCAAGGATTTCAGTTTGACTGCTGATATGCAAGACAACCATAAAACCTGGAGCTGAGTGTCTTCACGTGACAGGTTTTAAACTGGTTATATCTGTGTCCACACCAATATGCTGTATAAAAGAATTATTTTCATTAAAAAGGAATCGTTACTCCAGCACTTAACTGTGTTTGTCCAGAGGCTACAGCAACTGCCTCTTCACATGATCCCTACTACAGGAACTGTGTGCAAACTAATAGGAAGGCCAGGCACGCATTAACTTCCTACTCAAGTGAATTCATCTGTGAACTTGCACAGGCCAGAGGAAAAGCACAACCTGGCGCTTGCCAAGGAACAGCACAAGGATCAGCCTGTGGTCTGAAGGAATGAAAGGGTAGCCTGTTCCCCAAGTGCATCAGCACAGCAAGAGTGTTTGTGGGGAGTAAAACTCAGGCCACAGTGCTGCTCATACCTTAACTCCTTCTCTATGTCCAGAATTTCCACATCCTGGACCCTTCACATCCCTTGCTATTCTGCTGAAACTGTGCAATGTCTTGATTATCCCAGGCTGGGACACTGGATACAGCATCCCATCCCTCTGCTTTTGTGCAGCTTTACTATGAGCACTCTCTCTGCTCAGGCTAGAGCCTTACGAGAACCACAGGGCTTCACAGAACACCTGTAAAAATGCCACACCAGGAAGCTAAAACAGCATTCATCTGCAACTGAGTGAACAATCAGAAACAAGGATTGAGAAGGCATCTGTGTTCTTAAACCCCAGTGTAGGCCAAATGCTGGATTGGAATTCATTAGTAGCCTTGCTTTTTGTGTTCTTTGTTATAAGCTGTACAAACTGAAAGTCAAAGATTAAGACATTGAGGTGAACATGGTGTCCTCCATGAGATAAAGCAGCCCTGGCAGACTCACTACAAGCACCACTGACCCATGGAACTGGATGAAGGGGATGGAGAAAGAGCTGTAAATGCCCCTGGGATTGACTATAAAAAGGCACATACGACCATGGCACAAGTGTGGGCTTCATGTCACCCTGACAAAACTCTTGCTGTTTCCAAGGGAAAGAAATCTGAGCAGTTCCAGGTTCCTGCAGCAGCGTTTCCCAACAGTGTGCATACTCACGTTACCTTGGTGCGTGGAAGGAAGGTGATCTGTGTTGATCCACCACCCAAATCCAGCATCCCTACACTTCTTTTCTGCGGGTCATTTAGCCTGCCTGAAATGTGTGACAGAACAGAAAAAGCCATGGTGGGCACTGTGAAAAACTGGCTAGGAACAAAACCAGAGGTACAGTGGTAAGGAAAAAGAACAATCTAACTCTACTCTCAGCTTCTGCATAGCACTAAATTACACTGTTATCTACTGGGCACTGATTTTGGCTTTATCAGACCTAAAAATCTTAAAGTGACAAGAGTCTCTCATTTCTTTGGTGGCTGTTCCTGTCCTAATCACAGCAACTTTGGTTGTATTCCTAAACATTTTGGATGTAAAGACCTTTTGCAAACTCTGTTCTGGTAACCACTATGCAACACAGAAGAAGGTGGTTTTCTTGGCCACCTCTCTCTGTGACCTTAACAATATTTTGCAGATTCCTATGGCCAAAGTGATGACAGACTGAAAAGAGCTGGCCTAAGACACAGCTCTCTTGGAATTCTTCCTGCTGCCAGCCAAGACCTCTGCTCTCATTTAGATCCTTCAAATGCACCTTCCTGACAAGGACAGTTTGTGCCAAGTAGCTCAGTATACCTCACGATAGCTGATGTTTGAAGGTCGCTGACCTTTCTGGTATTTCCTAGGAGCATAAAAAGCTCCAGAGCACACTGCCCCACACATTGTGTGCTGAACAAAGCACTTGGATGGCAAAGTGCTTTATGTATTATCAGAAAGGTCTTCAGCTTAGTTTTCTCTCTACTCTTCAGCTATCCTTTTCTCACTCAGCAGTGTAAACATCCATGGCATTTCTGTGTTATAAATCTGTAAAGAAGTAGCATAGCACTTTCTTTTTCTCTGCAGCTACCAAGCACATCTAGAATATTCACAGAAAAAATTTACCCAGAGTCACAGCAGGCTCTAAAAAGGAATAAAAGGCTCTGGTCCCCTACAGAGAACTGAAAGAAAAACTACATTAAACATCTAGGAAAAAGGATTTAACTCCTGACTCCATCAAGTAAATGGACAAAATCCTAATGACCTAAATAGGCCAGGCCAAAAACAAACTGCTGACTTAATTCTTAGAGTCTTCTTTCTCCCATTCCACCCCAAAGAATGAGGAAATTCCACACAGGGGCAGAGAAGAGCAGGAATTTCACAGCATTGGTCATATCTTTATATACATGCTCATGTACACATACCTGTTAAAAAATTTATTGTGATCCAGGCTGAAATACCTAATAAGGAAAAGATTCAGAAGATACATGCTTAGATCGTAGCATTTAATTTTATCTAATAGCAGCAACAAGTAAGTCAAGCCATATTACAAGGTTTCCAGAACTGTCAGTGGCTGAAAAACCCAAGATTAGACTATCTGAACAAAGAGAATGACCTTCTCTATCACAGCTTATGTAATATTTGGGAGAGAAGCCCCATATCCATGCCTGGAGAGCTCTGTATTTCACAGGTCAAAAACTTAGGCAGGAAGTCACAAAGGCTGCAGTGCTTAGCTAAGAGTCAAAGAGATGATTGAAACTCACACTGTTCATTTTCTAGGAAAACATCCACTATTGGCTTTTGTTTGATGTCATGCACTCCAGTTTTCTTTATGCATACTAAGAATTTTCACCTTTCAGTGTTCTAATTTTGCCTGTTTTCCTCTAGCCAATTTTGTGAGATATGCTGGTTTTGTCCTCTTCTTGTTTTATAAACTGTTCCCCATAAATTAGGTGAATCAGTGGCCTTACGTTAACAAATCCAAATATTTATTCATGTGCTTAAAACTCAAGGCATGACAGAGAGCACGACTCACTTCAATCCTTGGCTGAACTTAGGCTATCGCTGCTATTACTGATTTTAAAACAAAATAAAAATAATATCTTTCCTCCATTAAGTACCAAGAGAAACTCATAAACATCTTCAGCTATTTTAAAGCTTGGTTTCTGAGAAGACTTAAAACACATTTCAACACTCAGTTACTTAGAATTTTGACAATCTGTTCTCAACATTTTTGATGAGCATGAACTTACTTCAGAATGTATTTTCTTCCCTACGTAACTTTTTTTTTCAGATTGAACTCACATTCCCACTCATTAGATGAGTTATAATTAACATTATGATCAAATACTTGCAGAGAGCTCTGATAAGCATTGTAAAGAGCTGAGTGGGCAAACCCAATTGTTGAAGACCATCTCAGCAAGCAGATATTCAGAAACTTTCCCAGAAGTGCTGACTGTACAGTGGCTTCCAGATGATCCTACAGGAACTGCTCAATGCTCAGAGCTTTAAAGATGAGGACAGAGCTGTTCAAGACTTCAAACTGGAAAACAGCACAAGATCTCTTTGGCAGGCACTGCCTGTGGCTGCATAAAAACTCTGCTTCTGTCAAACCTGCTGCTTGTGGACTCCCACTACAGCTGGTAGGGACTTGTCACAGTGCAGCAGGAATTTCCAAGACTGCAGAAAGAGTGAACATTAAAGCTGCTTACCTTCATCAGTTCCATTCATTATCGACACACAATTGTCCCTCACAAAGAAGGGGGAGGCCTGAAAAATCTCCTTCACCTGTAGTTCAAATAAAAGCTACATTCAGATAAATACTTTTTCAGCTGAAAAACAAGCTTTTTAAAACCCCATTTTTACACTACTACTCCTCTTCTTGGGCCAGATCCTGATTGCTGCTCACCACTTTGTTTGAAGTTCAAGAGTCCAACAAGCAGCAGCCTTTACATGCTGGCCTTGCAGTTGCGTGCGGAAACGGGGATGGATGTGATGGGTTGTCAAGCATGAAGACTCCTCAGAAATGCCATTAACAAGGGATGGACACGAGTAGGGAAAGGAATCCCATTTGCTTTGCTGGAATTGGTGACCCTCAAGGTATTATACATATATGGGAAAAGCAGGAGATGGACACCCTGGCTTGAAAGGAATGTCCCAGGGTGCTGCATTTTTAATAGGAGCATGTTTTCTGGAAAGCAAATGGAAAGACAAGAGAGAAACCTTTTCCAGCAACTTCTGAGCTTTCTCTCCTGGCAGCAACCGTAGGCCAGCTGTGGCTTTCAGGACCAAAGGAGTAAACTTCCATAGCTCCATAGGAACTTCCTTCTTTGCCACCTCCAGGAGCTCTTTTATTCCCTGGCCACTCTGTGAGCAGAGAAAGAACAATAAAAGACATCTTAAAAACTCTTTTGAAAGATCAAAAGGGTGATCAGAGCTATGATTAACTGTAAATGTGAAACAGAGACAAATTAGTATCAAAAGGGGTCAAGAAAAGGTGCAGGACTCACTATCTCACTACAGCATAAGGCCTAGAGGATATAATGGGAATTACTGAGCAACAGGTCCAAAGCAGAGTCACATTTTCAAACAGTGAAACAAAACTCTCTGCCACCAAGATTTTTGGCTACAAAAGGCTCAAAAGACAGTATGATAAATTCTTGGAAAGCAAAGGCTTTTGTAAAACACTATGAGCTGGGTCTAAGTCTGGCTCTTAGGAGTACCTAAATCCCTGCAAATCAGAAAGTAAGGGAGACAGGAAAGAAGTAACTTAAATTACCTTTTCGACATCATCAGCATATGCTGACAGACCTGGTTTCAGTGCTTTAAACGTCTCATGGGTTAATCTGGGAGTCTCTGTTCAAGAGTAGTATTCCAAAATAAGTAATGGTATAAATAATTTTTCATACACAAAAAGAAAATAATTTTTAAAACTCCACTATTATGTGCTAATAGAAGTCAATTGAAGCCTCTCTCTAATGAACTATTATCAGCCACCTGAGCTCTAAATATAGCCCTGGCTGTGGAATTAGAACCTGAGAAAACCACTTTTAAAGCCATGACTGGTTGTCAGGTGCTGCACATCAGTGCACATCAGATGGGTGCAAGCTCTCTTTGAGGCCTTACACCTGCCATGTGCAGCTTTTCAAACTGCATTTCAGCCTACCCTCTTCTGGCTAAACTTGATCCCAGCAAAACCTAATGGTAGCTTTCCCACTATTTTCAATGGCAGCAGAGGGTTGCAGACTTCAGGATTTTGGAAAGCTGCAGTACCTTGTATAAACCTGCAGTCCAGGCAACACTTCCCTCCAGAAAGTTTGCTGCAATACATTCTGAAATTGTGTTTCAAATTAAGCAGGCCAGAAAGAAGCAAAAACTTGGAGGTACAGGAAAGAAGTAAATCCATGGATTTCCTTGTTAACACTTGTTTAACCCCTTTGGTTGCTGAGCCTTACACCAATCCATTATGCAAACCTAAGGTGCTCCCCAGAGGCCAGTCACACAATACACCACACTGCTAATCCTCAATAGAACCTTTAGATCACCTACTAACAGCACCCACCCAGGTTCTTCGATCTTTAAGAGTTTCACAAATGGGAGCTGGCAACATATAAACAAATGAAGCTTACTACTCCAAAGGAAAGCTGGAGCTTTTTTGTATGCTTTGTCTCAATTCTCAGTAGTTTCTGTCCGGATGCAATACACAGCAATTTTAATCAAACGATTTGCAATTTTTGTTCTGTTTTGCAGTTTAAACCCAACACTGAAGCCAAGGATGCACTAAACCAGACACTGTAGAGAGAAGCAGCTCACTGCCAGGAACTGGAAACACCAAATAACCTAAAAAATATGGGGAAATAAGGCAGTTTGAATTTGTAATTCTCTCTTCCACCAGTGTGATGAAAAATTGCCTTTCTTCAAGACACTACTCTAATAGTACAGCTGCTATTTACTTCATATTCTGACATTATGGCGTTTTCTCCTCGTTGAATATTTTCATAATTTCATCCGAATACGTATGTCTGAACCATAACATACCTCCTGACAGCTCTCTGGAAAGACCTGAAGCATGTATCTTCAAGTAAACCCTAGGAAACTGTCATCAATAATCTCCACAATTTATATATTTTACTTAATCTGTCATGCAATGAGCAGGACATACCTCTTGGCTGCTGTGCAAATTTAAATACATGGATGCGAGTTCCCGTGCTTCCTGCATCAAATATAATTCCATAAAAGACAGAGAGAGCTTTGGTCACTGTCTGATGGGTCAGTTTATCTCCCTTGCTTTCAGCAACTCCTTCTGTGGCTCCCACAAATGGTTTGGAGCCCAAGTGCCATTTTATGTATGCAACATAAACAGCTATGCACATCAAAATCCCAAAACAGAAGAACCGCTTTGATATCTTCATAGCTTCCATTTAATGGGATGTTCTGTTTCTTCCCTTTATCAAGTGGTCTGTTCCTTGTCCTTCACGCAGAATAGGTGGTTCCCACATCACTCCTAAATCCAACAGAAAAGATCTGCTTATTTTCCAACCTGATAGAAGGATCTAAAAGTATGATGCCCATGGCACTGGACACTACTTTCCCAATGAACATAAAGAAGACAAGCTCTTTCAGTCCCACAGCTCACTTCAAGGCAGCATGGAACAGCATAAATTTTCTTTTCCCCCATTGCTACAGAGGCCTAATAAAGCAGAAAATAAGGAGGGTTCAGAGAAGCTATGTACTAAGTGACTAAGGTGGGAGAGGACCAACATCTTGCTCACAGCAGGGGCAGTTGTTGGGACCCTCCACGTGGCCAAGAGCTATATCCAAGAGCATTTTTAAAAACTCAGAGAATGAAGATCCCAAAGCTACTCTGGACAGTTATCTTTGCTAGTTCCTGCATGGTAAGGGGGGGTCCCAAAAGACTGGACAAGGACAATTTAAAATTAACGTCTGAAAGGCAAGATGCAGGATCCAGGGAATTGAGTACCCTCCTCCCTCATCTATAATACCAGGAAAGAAACCACAGCAAAGCACAACCGACAAAATCTACAAGCCCTCACATAGCATCATTCAGATGATTAAAAAGCAGTCAGTGGCAATTTATGGGGAGAAAAATTGCATACAATTTTTTTTTTATAAGAGTAATGAAGAGAAAGGAAAGCAATTGATGAAGTTAAATAAGTTAAATAAGGTTTTTTACATATGTAATCTCTTGATGTGATTTCAGTAAGCATACAGAAAGTGTGAAGGGGAGGAATCTAAAATCAAGGTGATTACAGAGTAATTCCAAAAACAGGTAAGACAACATTTCATAAAAATGTGGGAAAACAAAATCACAGGCACATATACATATAAAGAATGGATCAGCTCGATGGAAAGGGAACTGTAGATTGTCATGACACAGAAATCAGGAAGATGGCATTTGCAAATAAACGAAAAATCTTCCTGACTTCCATCAGCAGGCAGAGACATGCAGGTGGCAGTCGCTGCAGATCTACGGGGTGATCACTCCGATCTTGCCGGTGCCAGGAAGGCCTCAGCTGCAGCTACACCCGAACAAAATGTCACAGGAGGCAGGAAAGCCGCAGGGACCAGCTGATCCTTCCGGGAGACACGAGTTCCACCGAGGAAAGAGGAGGCTGGGAAAATGAGGAGACACAGCAGCCTGGAAGCGCTAAGCCCCTACCGCCGTTTACCAGGAGAGAATCGCGACTGTCCCTTCCCGGCCTTTGTCAATGGACGCCAAGATTTGCTGCGAGGGAAAAGCTCCCCGCTGGCTCCCCAGAGCCGGGAATGCAGGCGGGACCCCGGCAGAGCTCGAGCCCGGGCTCTACCCGGCCCACCCCGCGGGGCCCACCCTTTCTCACACACAGACCACTGTCTCACCGCCCGCACTTCCTTCTTCCTTCCTTCTGCCACTTTCCTCCCTCCCTCCCAAACTCACACCGCCCCCGCTGGCCCCGCCATGGCGCCGCCACCGCTGGGCTCGCGGGCGGCCCCGCCCCCATGGCGCAGGCGCTAGGCGGCCGCGCGGCGGGCGAGGCCCTCAGGGCGGGAGCTCCGGGAAAATGTACTTAAAAAAAAAATTAAAAAAAAAAAAAAGCGAATCGCCGGAAAAGTGTGGACAAACAGCCTCGGAAAATGTGGAATATGTAAAAATTACGTTGAATTAGGTGGTAGTTAACATCGCTTAGTCAAGGACAGCGTGGAGCGAACAGGCTCTGAGGATGAAGTACATCAAGATATTGATGTATCCATTGCCAACTTGGCGAAACACTCAAGGTCCATGCATCCTGTAGCTGAAAATATGTTCATTACAGTCCTAAAAAATCATGCCTGTAGGTAAAAAATGTTTTGGCCAATTGAAGACCCTTCCCCTGGCCATGTACAGAAAGTCGGTGAGTCACAGAGTTCGTATAAAATAATACAGTCCCAATAGAGGGGCTGTACTGTCTTGGTTTAAAACAATTTAAGAGGTGGATACTCTAAATGAGTTATCTCCCTTTAGTTTTAACCAATCCCTTTTCACCAATAAGGAATGAATACAAATAGATGTGTGATAATTGATAAAAGATTCGTGTTAATCACAAAAGCATTGGGGTTTGTATAAACCAGAATACTAAGCTCTGAAATGAACCACGGACACTAGATAAAGGAAATTATATGATAAAATAATTCTGTTTAAAATCACCTTGTTATGTTATATTATGTTGTATTATGTTACATTATAATATGTTATGTTATGTTTTCCAAATAAGTTGTATCGGCTACCAGCTTGCAAAATCGGACTTCCCAAAAAGCCCTTCCTGCCTTTGTCTAATCAATACTGGTTATCTACAAGGACCAGACTTCCAGAACCTCTCTGGTGGTTATCTGCAAGGACCAGATGGCTATCTGTGACTGACTATAGCCCAGAGGCTTTGTGAATTTGTGTAAGGATGTTTATTCAACCACCACTGCTTATGACAACAAAAATCCAAAAATTATTGATTACAACGAGAAACCACAGTATAAGAAGAGGCTGCAAACCAAGGTTCGGTGGAGCGTGGAGTGGGTGGTGACCTCTCACGTTCCCCAGCACACTGCTTGCTCTTTCTGTATCAAATAAAGCAATCTAAATTTTGCTGAATATTGAGACTTTTGTCTCTCAATTATAACAGATGTAAGTGAAAAAATAGGTTTACCAACAAGTGAAACAGCAACAGGCAGAAAAATATAACAGTAAATAACTACTGGAAATGGAATTGCTAAATCTCACTAACCCCTCAAGAACAAAGACTTTAAAAGGGCCTGTGACACCTCTCACCCTGGTTCTCTTTTCTGACTGCATGGTCTTACAGATAATAATTTGGGGCAAGGGCAGGGATAGATACAGAATACTGTAACATTTTGGGTTGACCTTGACATGTACTTGGGAGGTTACTAGTACTAAATATCCGTGTGTAAATAATGGCCTGGAAAGTCCTGAGGGCCTTCCTTAATTTGTAGGATACCACCAATCATCCAGGCTTGTGCAACTCTGACACAAATAATCAAAATGTCTCTCTTGAGCATGTAATTGTTGGCTTGTCACACACTGGGTAATGAATCTGATTTTTGTGGAAAATAACAGGAGCAGTTCTCAAGGTGAGGGGAGACAGGGCAGAACAGGTGGTGGGAGAGGTCCCATGGCCCAGGGATGATAGCACCAGGAGATGGCTGGCAGGGTTGCTGGGCACCCTCTGCACTCCACTGAGACCCTGCCCTACCAGGAGGTCTTGTCCTGCAAGTTTGGTCTGGGTCTGAGGCGGGGAGCGTGAGGAGATGTGAGCAAAGGATGCCCTTGAGTAGTTGCTTCATGCCTTTCTCCATACCTCATGCAAATAATTTTTTTAAAGATTTGTGGCTCTCCTGTGATGTGATTGTAACACAGAATTTATGTTTAGTTTCTGTGCTGGTTTGAAAGAAAGACCCTGCTGGTGTGGTTTCACCACAGAAAAACGAGTCTGCCAGCAACTGGAGAAAAAAAAGACATCTGAGAATGCTCTACTAATTCCTGTAGGGGTTAATCCCAAAATTGTGCTGTGACATTCCTGTCAGTCATGGCATCTCGGGAGCTGCAAACTCATTGGGGAGAAGAAAGGAGAACCTCAGAAAAGATGCAGTCTGACTGCTGGGTGAATAGCCTTTATCTCCAGGACTGAGGAGAGGGTGGTCATGGCCATAGCTGAGCATGGTCACTGGTCTTGGTGAGTCTGCACCATGGCATCACTTTGTTCTGCCCCAAAATATGAGATGTTGTCAGAGTAAAAACGATTTTTTTTATGGTTCTTGCTGTGCCAGGTGTAGCTCAGCAAAATCTGGTATCAGTGTGATGGTAAATTCAATGCAAATAACCTGGTTTTCAGTTAGCTTTGTTCTGAGTGATCCCCTGTGGGTAAAACAGCAAAAAAAATGGGGATAGGAAGTAAAGATACTACAAATTTTGGGCTAGGGAGCTACTCAGGTCTGGAGTTGTCCTTCAGATTAAAAGACTAGGGAACCCCATCTCAAATTCTGTGGTTGTCACTGGAATTTTGGTCTGCTGTGAAAATTTCCACCTGGGAGCAAGTTTCCTGAAACCTAGACCAGGAGTCCATTATATTTAGAAACACACAGTCATCTGAACTCATCACAACAGAGATCCTGCTACAACCAGGTTGCAAGAAAACAGGAATATTTCTGGAGGGTTACTCAGGGTGAAGGACTACTTGCATTTTTTCTTCAAGACAGAAGGTTTTGGTGATACCAGTATCATTTTCCTTAGCAAAATAATTTTTTCAATCATAAATAAAGAAATGCTGTCACCGATTGCTAAGTCAGCAAAAGAAGATTTTTTTTTTTCCCTTTCCACAAGGGAAGGCAGATCTCAGGAGGTAAGACCCTTGAGGAAAAGCAGGTCAAGGCCAGCAGAGAGCAGTATTTTGTCAGGAACACCATTCCCCTAGGGATGGGGCAAAATAGTGCAGTATTTATTTCTCTTAGATGAAATTGAAATATCTTGCATCTATGTTCATAAAGAGTGCTGCAATTAAGACTAGAGATTCCAAAGAAATGGGAATGTAATACTGAGTTGTTTTTTTCTCTCTCCTGTGAGAAGCTTTACTTATGTGCATGGGAACAATTCTCAGGCTGTTTGTGGAAATCCCCTTCCCTCAGCTGTGGACCTGGGATGGAGTGTAGGTGGTTTAAAGTTTTGGATCCATTCCTGAAACTCTGTCACATGCAGTACTGTGGTCATTCTTAGAATTAAGCCACACAGTCTGAGATTTGTAACAAATTTTCAAGTATGATAGCTACACATTGGTACTGGTTTGAAAGCAAAATCAGTGAGACACTCCAAGTCAGTAATACAATTTAATAGGAAAATGAGAAAAAATAAAATACATGCAATAATACAAAAGAAAAAGCACCAACAGAGTCAGAATACAACCTGACACCTTGTCAGTCAGGGTGTTGGTAGCAGTCCCATTAAATGGTGGCTGCAGTCCTCTTGGATGACAGATGTGGTTCAGTTGAAGCAGTGGTCCTGTAGAAGGGTGCAGTTTTCTTCCGAAGGTCCAGCGATGATGTGGAAAAGGTCCGACAATCTTCTGGGATCTAGTGGAAAGGGCTGCCTTGGCGTTCCAAACTTATGTTTTTTTATCTAGGTAGGAAAGGCTTGGCTCTTCCCCCTGGCTGGAGCATCTCCCAATGGGATGATGTAAACTTATCAGTCATGCAATAGGACTTAACGGCCCATTAACAGAATATATCTTCTGGAGGAAGGATGGGTTGTGAAAAGATAACGATCATCATCCCCCTGATTTTATCAGAGAGGATATCTCCCAGAGAGATAAGGATCACCACCCCTCCCACATTTCAACAGATGGTGATAGAATACACATTTTTGCAT